CCAAAACTTGACTGGATTATGTTCCCCGTCCGTCTGTCCAGTAAAAAAAGTAAAATATAATGTATTTTTTAATTTTAATTTTTTTAATTCTTTAATTTTTATTTTCAAATCCGCCCTCCCCCGGTGACTCCTCGCAGGCCCTTCTGCCCGAGGTACTCATCCCGTTGACGCTCCGAGCGCCTGGAGGTACGGCTGGGGGACCGGGGACGTAGTGTCATACACTCGTCGGTGAATACTGACTGTGCGGCATTTCTCATCCGGTGCCCGGACTTCGCTCCCCTGACCAGCAACCACGCCAGGCGCTGTGCCCAGGAGCAGTTAAGGCAACCGCTGTACGGCGGTTTGGTCGTGTGATATTCTTAAGAAAAGGATTTCTTACCTCCCCACACGTGTGTTGGTATATGTGTGTGTTTCGCCGTACGTGTCATGTGTCGTACAGGTGCCGCCATGCTGTGCGGGGACCCACGCCAGTTGGAGCCTGTGGTCCGCAGGTACGGCATAGAACTTGGCGTACGACAGGTAGCATGCGACGCGGCATCGTCACTGCCCCGGGAGCCGTACAACTCCTGCTCTCCCGCTAATCAACCCCTGCCTAGCTATAGCACGCCATGCCGTGCCTGCTGTGCTTCCACGGGTCGGTTTGATTCGGACCGAATCCCATCTCGAAATTCAATTTCCTGAAGTGAACGAACGAATAACTAGTGCCTCATTCTTTATAATGCTATTAGAAGCTTCCTGATAGCTTCCGAAACATTATATAACGTCTACTGAATGCTTGGGCATTCCGGGCAGCATCCCTCCTTGGCATTACTGTATGATGTGTGGGACAGGGGGGCATATCTTCACCCGTGGCCGCTACCTGGCGAAACCCTACCTTCCCCGGTATTTCGGGGCACCCTCATGTATCGGGAACCCAATTATCTAGGTTCCGCACCCACCGCCAACATTCCAATGGAATTTGCCGATGACGGGGACTTAATTCTATTCCTGTTTGGTTTAATCCCAGATCAGCGACATCTTCATCGAATACTATCGGAAACTCTATTCGATCTTGACAGGTCACGATCCCGGGATCTCCCGGGGGCATAGATGCGTGCTCTACCAGTAGTGCCAGACCTGAGTATGTATACTGGTAACTTACTACTGTATATATGCCCTGTATTAATATTATTATTTATTATTTAATACTTATTTATTATTTGTTTGTTATTTATTATTGCACCAATGATTATATTGAGTAAAATATGGTTAAAACATATGTTTTTGTTGCCGATCTTTTTGTGTCCCGCTCCCTCCACCAGCGCATCTGCCGCACGTGGCGGTCTGGCCACCTCCCTCCTGGAGCTGATGATGGAGGCGGCCGGACGTGAGGGCCACCTGGACCGAGCTCGAGCAGTCGCCGGGCTCGTGGAGGAGAAGGTCGCCAAGATGACGATGACGGCCGCAAGGGGCCATCAACAGCAGCGGCAGCGGCAGCAGCAGCAGCAGGTGGCGCAGCCACAGCCACTTCTAGCAAACCACCAACATCAGCACAACTACCACAACTACCACAACCAAAACCTCTGCAAGCACCACTGCAATCACCACCATGCTTTTTCGCGGCTCCGCGGGGTTATGTTGGTTCGGAATTACCGCAGTGCCGCCCCCCTCCTGGACCTGCCTAGCCGCCTGTTCTACGACGACCAACTCAAGGTGGGTCGGGGGTCCTTTGCCATAGTCCAGTAGGTACAGACGTGGTGGGGCTCGTGGGTTTCGTGTTTTCGGTTTTGGATAAGTTTTGTTTATTTACAAGGGCGAAAATACCATCGCAGCCAACACCCAATCTCCAGCCCACTGCCGTTTGAGGCTGGGAGCGATTGGGTGGCCCGGCTTGTGACAGAGCTGATTCTTTATATATAACTACAGTGGCCTGTAAGAAGTAAGGGTTGACTTAGGGTTGACTTACCTTGGCTTCAGGCCAAATTGTAGATGCTTCGATGTATAAGTGTATATACATAATATTAGAGACTGCATATATTAGCTAATTATATAGCCGCCGCTGTGCCCTTCAGCTACTGCTGTTGCCACAAGGCCATAATAACCCCTGTGCCGGTCGTTACTCATCGCACGCCTTTTAGGCTTGTGTCGACGGCCAAACAGCTCGTCCTCCGGAGTGGGAGCTGCTCGTACAGCCCTCGGCCGCCGCCGGGGCTACGGCCGCCGCGCGAGATGTCACCGCGGGTCTGACGCCGCCTGTTGGTGCGCATGCCAGCGGCAGCGGCGGCGGCAGTAATGCAGCGACGGCGGGGGCGACGGGGGCCGTAGCGGCGGCGGCGGGGGCTTCCGTCGTCATGGACAGGAGTCCTGGCCGAGTGGAGCCTCGAGTGGGAGAGACTGCTGCTGCTCCTGCGGCGGCGGCGGCGGAGGAGGAGGAGGAGGCGTTGGTGGCTCCCTCCCATTTGCTCTTCTATGGTGTCCGGGGACAGCAGTATCAGGTTGTGGCAGTTATGCGGTTGTAGCGGTTGTGAGGGGGCAGTTGGCTCCTTTGGAAATGACAGGAAGGGAGGGAGGGGAATCTGTGATGCTAAAGACTCGCCCCCCGAGAGGAATTCCTGCCGATGTCCAAAGCACCTAATGGCTAAATCCCTTTGTCGGGGGGTGTAGGAGGGGGAAGAAGGGGGGGCTTGCTCACGGCTCGTGTGTACGAGTTACGAGTTACAAGTTACAAGTTACGAGTTACAAGTTACAAGTTACAAGTTACAAGTTACAAGTTACAAGTTACAAGTTACAAGTTACAAGTTACAAGTTACAAGTTACAAGTTACAAGCGCTGCACGAGTGCGGGGGGGGTCCGTCAAAGCCGGGTGGCCATGGACTATATATATTGAAAGTTGATTACACCGTACAACCGACGGCGGTTTGGGTCCTGCCAACTAGACCCCTCCTCATCCAGTCACCCGACATCCGTAGAGACAGATCAGCCATGTGTACGGGAGCCTGGAAAGACGTTTTGTGCATTTCACGTATGCCTGCCGCGTGTGTTTTGTATATGCTTATGTGTGTGTGCGCGTGCGTTATAACTGCATGTTCGTGTTCCAACTGTCGTACAGGAGCTGGACGCACCGTCGTACTTCAATCCCTTGGACTCCTTCACCGTAACCTCGCTCGCATTCTTCATCCTCCTCAATCCCTCGCTTATCCTTAACTACCAAACACAAACTGCCTTAACCCTGGCCAAAGTCAACCAGCTCACAGGTCTCCATGGCCTTAACTGCCAACTTCCCAAACTTCTAACTCCTAACTCCTGTTAAATAGGCTAATATGCTAGAAGTATGCTCAAAATGCATGAGATTTTGCTATTGATATATTGCTAAAATAAATATCCTAAAAGGATAAAATTATTGAACCCTGGCAACCTCACACAGGCTTCCACTGTCGCTGATCTAGTGGACTCGCTCATCAAGGCGTCATGGGCGGCGGCAACGAGGAGACTGGAGGCGCAGCGGCAGGGCCGTACGGGCAGCGGGGCCGCCGCCGCCGCCGCTTCCGCCACTACTGCCGTACAGTCAAACAACGCTGCAGGGGAGCTCCTTTCCGGTGTCGTACATCAGCAACACATCGGTATCATTTGTACCTACAGGAAGCAGGTGTGTGTGTATATTCGCACATTTGTCGTTCATGTATTGTACATATACAACTGCTACCAAGCATTTCTCAACAACCGTACTGTAATCGATTTCAGTGGTACTCCTCTGGTCATTAGAGTGCCGTGTAATTGATCGTACATTTGCTGCTCGTACAGGTGTTCAAGATGCGTCAGTTGCTCCGCGAACGAGGCCTTGGCGGCGTTCGTGTTGGCACTGTTGACGATTACCAGGTAGGTGAAGTACATGCCGTACTGTGCCGTACCGTGCCGTGGAAGCGGCACTGTCGGGACCGGCCACGTCCCGCGGAAGCAAGGGCACAATGTTACACAAACCAAACACTTCCCAATCAATGCAGTTGGAGAGCGACATGCAACTCAAGGTGCAACACACACACACACACACACACTCACTCTCTGTATTGCTTGGTCTTCAAAGCGAATTCTCAGCGACCACAACCGTGTTGTTGTTTTGTTGTGGCTACTGCAGCTTGTTCTTACTTCGTTGCTAGCAACTGCTGTGTCCACGTCTGCATTATCGTTACGCAATAATACTAATAATACACCGTTATTGAACTCGCTATTACGCCGTTGTCGTAGCCGTTGTATTCTGTTATTACGGTTGTGATTTCATTGTTGCGGTTGTAATTCAGTTGTTTTTCGGTTGGTTGTTTTCGTCCACAGGGTCAGGAGGAGCGGATCATCTTCATCTCCACCGTCTTGTCGAAGGTGGAGTCCCTACCCGGTGCGGTGATCAACAACAACAACGTCGGCCGCGGCGGCGGCGCCGCCACTGCTGATGGTGATGGAGCGGTCGCGGCGCCGCCACCTCCCTGCCACCAACCGCTAGGTCTCTGGTCGCACCCACGGCGCTTTAACGTAGCTGTGACTCGCAGCCGGGCGTTACTGGTGGTTGTGGGACATCCTGCCGTACTGCTGGCGGACAGGTACTGGCGGGAGCTTGTACGACAATGCGTGGCAAGGTACGACAAGGCGGTCGGGAGGAGTACCCGAAATACCCCCAACCTGGGCGCCTTCCTGCTCCTGCTCCTGCTCCTCCTACAAGCCAAGCGGCTTTGGGCCGTAGTATCCGGGTCGTGGTATTGCTCCGAGACCTCCTCGAGATGTGGGGGCTGTAACAGGTTTGCCTCACGCGAGAATTAAAACCTAAGGGGTCTTTAGGGTTTTAATAAAAATCAAAGCCCTCCAAAAAATACAACTCGGGTTGGCTTGTGAGGCGAGAAATGCGGGATTTACACCGTCTTGCTACACACGGTTCTGCGTTTATTTGTCTTGGTTTGAAATATGCACAGCTTTCAAAACACGAAGTCGTACGGCTTTACCTGCACTTAGATATGATATGGTTTTATTCAGCTTTTGCTTTCATTCCGGTTGTCTTTCTGTTATTGATGTTGACGTTGACAAGTATTATATGGTTTGCAGGGGAACCTACCGAGGAGCCGGTACGGCACTGGTACGGCGGCGGATGCGGCAGGACGCCATCTCCGCCGCCACCGCCACCGTCGCCACCACCGTGTGGCGGCGGCCGGCGGGTGATGCTCGCCGCACTGCTCGGCGGGGCAGCGGCAGCAGTATCGCCGCAGTGGCTACTGCTGCCGCGGGGAGCGCTGCTGGAGACGGGGTTGGGCTGGACAATGGCGACAGCGACGGCAGCGGTGATCGTGACGATGGCGGCGGCGGTGGCGGGGACGGTGACGTCGGCATTACGGACCACAACGCCGTACAACGCCGTACAACGACAAACGGGGCGCACCTTAGCGAGGCCGATGCAGAGCTGCAGGGCGTCGATGACGGCGCGTTCGACAACAGCGAGTACGATGACGAGTACGGTGGGGATGATTGGGAGGACGGGAGCGCCGGGGAGGACGACGACGCCGATGAGGCGGACCTGGCTGCTGTCGTACAGCAATTGGCGGAGATGGCGACGCTAGGTGAGTGACCCTTGTGTGATTATGGGAGCTCGTACAACGGTATCGCGCGGCATGAGCCTTTTGTCAGTTATGCCTGCGACGTTGCAAGCCAAGGTCAGCCACCGTGTAGGTTGTCTTTTTTGTCCCTCGTTTGGACTCAACCAATAATAACATGCTGATTAGGAAAGGAACGTTCTTGGAATCATCGACTTTCCATGACTTCCACAACCAATCTGCCGATTCCTGATTTTGTTTCCTGTGCAACATCCCTACTGTAACGCCGCTGAGGCGTTATCCGTTCTATCCGGGCCACCGTGGAATTATCTTTTTAGTATGTTCAGGTTCAAACAAAGTATCTATAATCATTTGTCATGTTGTCCTGCAGGCATGGGCTGCGAGGACGAGATTTACCCGGACCCGCGTAATCTACGCGCCTTTTACGAACTGGAATCGGCATACTTTGAAGAGATGCCGTTTCGTGTTCAGCTTTAGAATTTGCAATTAAAGCGAGGAACTGAGGTGTGGATTTAGAAGTCAAAAGTGGTAAGAATGACAAAGGACCGGATCCCACCAGGAGCAGCCAAGCCAGCGAAGTTTGCGGCGGTGGAGGTATCTTAGGACGTCACGTGAGGCAGTTGTTGGAGGTTGTTGGGAGCCTTGCTGGAAGCTTTGGTACTTGTTGGCTGGGTTTGGGCTGGCCCCCGGCCGCAAAAAAGGGGTCAGGACTTCGGGCGGTTGCTGCTCCAGCTAGCTGCTGGGGTTCCAGAGCTGGTTGTGGTTGGGAGCGAGGGGAAGCAGGGAAGGGAAACTGCTGATGACATGACAGGGCAGGAACGTCTTTGGATGAGCAAGGCATCTTTTAGGTTTCAGAGGAAAAATCGTGGAGTGCAAAATGCATGCTTAGTCAGGACAGGATAAGATCAAGACGTGAGCACAGGAGACAATACCTCATCAGCTCAGCAGGATGACCTGGCGATGTACGGAGTCCGAGGGTACGAAATGCAGCTGCTTTGGTTCAGCACCGTACTGCTGGTGGCCCTTAAGATGTTTAATACGATCTAAAAGGCTTAGAAACCAGGAAGGCCTTTTGACGACCGTATGGGTATGGCCCAGGACAGTTAGCCGCCAATGACACGCAAACAAGCTAACAGGGACCGTTGGGCCGGACTCAAACAGCGCCCAAATATGGGGCGGCCTTCAGCCCAGTTTCCTGGTGACCACCTGGTTACTTGCAGGTGACTCCAAAAATATCCTAGTGACCACCTTCCTGAAGGGAATTATTTTCTCAGTAACCACTTGGTCACTAGTAACCACTTTTAAAAGTACTGGCCTCAAGTCCTGCGGCATGCTGGCCCTATGGGTGGAGCCAAATCCAGGCCCAAAACGCTAGATGAGCACTCAGCAAAACTCCTAGCACCAGAACACAAAATAAAGCTGTCCCAAAGCCCAACCCACAAAGATAGCTACCTCATTAACATGGCAGGGAGGAGGGAGAAGGTTTTGCCACTGCACCCCCCAAACAAGACAAACTACTTGAGATAGCAGACGCAGTTGTGCTCTGTTGGGATTTTAGTATGCTCAAACAACACCACCCCGCTCACCCCAGCCAACCTCACCCGCCAGGGCTGGTTGGCAGCAGAGTCACACACCACCTCAAACCCATCCCTACCTCCCATCACCACACAGCTATGTAACACTATGTATACCCCTACTACTCTACCCTACTTAAGGGTGCCACTACGACCCTGGCGACTTGCACCTTCCATTCACAAGAGACCCCACCGTTGTGTGCAATAGTGTGCGCTTATGGATGCCACATCATAGACTAAAGAGCATGCACGGCTTGCACCTCGGCCTCCATCGCCGCCTGGTAGCTGCTGCTGCCTGCCTCCAAGCCACCCACCACCCTGGCATTCCCCAGGTCAACCAGCTTGACAACCCCATCCCGCCCCATCACAAAGTTGGACAGGCGGATGTCCCCGTGCAGTACACCTGCCCGGTGGAGCACCCTCAGTGCTCGCAGCATTGCAGTGCGCAGCTTTGGTGAAATCCCAGCATCACGCAAACTGCGGCCACTGCTGCCACTGGCAGCTGCATCACCAGCGACGGTTGTGCTGCGGCTGGCTCCGGCCTCCAGGTCATCACCCTCATCAGTCAGTGCCAGGAACAGGGCGCCTGTGTGTGCAAACATGCCGTACCGCAGCAGCCGTGGCACCAGCGGGGCACCCTGCAGGTTGCTGCTACTGTTGCTACTGATGCTGCTGCCAAGGCACAAGTACACACCAAGCTCGCGTGTGAAGGCTTCCACGGCTCCCCGTCGCTTCTGCTCAAACAGCTTGATCACTGCCGCCACACCACCTATGGTGCCCTGCACAGCAACAGCATCCGGAACAAGGTCTGAGCTTTTGAGAAGGGGAATGTGAAGCACGATAACCAAATGTCAGCACTAACCAGTATCTGGCATATGACACACGCTCTACGTCTGGTGCAATGCATGAAGCCCTTGAACAATGCAAGTGTAGCTGCTGGCCGCTGAAAATGCCTCAAGATGCTGGTGGAGCACCTTAGGGTTTGTATTTGTGGACAAGATTTGTGCCATACTTTGTACCAGCTACTACAGCAAGCTCTCATTCACCTTGCTATACAACCCAATCCCCTAGCCTGTCACATATGTTATGCTAAGTTGCCCTAACCACCGCACGTACCTCCAGCACGCTGCCATAGCACCCATATCCAACACACCGGCCGGTGAGGCCCACGTCTCCAAAGCCACACAGTTCTAGGGGCAGCAGCACCTTGCTGCCGCGCTTGCGGGTCAGCTGCTCAAGTCCACCCGGCACCTTCCCTTCCAGCGGGACATTGATGACGTTGGTAATGTGCACACCACTGCTGCCGGCATTATCGCTATTGCTGGTGTTGCCACCACAACTGCTGCTTGTGCTACTGCTACCTTTGATGGAGAAGAGGCTAATGTGGTTCCCATTGCCCGGGCCTTGCCTGCTGACCTTGCTTTGGCCAGGTAGGACAGACCGCTGTTTCACCTGCCGCTGCTCCTGCAACCTTAGCGACTGGCGCCGCTTTAGCTCACGCTGTGAGTTGTCTCCCTGGCCAGGTGTGATGGGCACCGCCTCACGTGGCAGCAACTTCTTCATGCCCTCAAGCAGATCTGCCTGCTGCAGCAGGAATAGCAGCGCCAGCAGCATCTTGTCCAGGCCGATGACTGGTGACACATACAGAGTCTTATCAGCAACGTTTGGTGAGCGCTTCAGCAGCAGCGCAAAATTATGCCGTGTGACCATCCCTAGGGGAGCCTCATCCATCACCATGTCGCCATAGCACTGCTGCAGTGCTTTGTCCAGGCCCAGGCGGTTGATTTCCCCAAGCGGCATGCATGACACATCGTGATGAGCCTCCAAGGGAAACTGCCAGTCACCTTTAACCTCAATGCATCCATAAACATCCCAGGAGGTACCGTTGCACTGCTGTTGCTTCTGCTGCCCTATGTCTCCATGCCTCAGCTGGATGATGTAGTCTGTTGATGAAATGCCGCGACCACTGCCTCCACCCTTGAGCCTCCCTTGGATGTGCATGGATGCTGCCACCGAGTTGACCAACTGAGCCATGGCCTGCATCGGTGCACGCACCTCGGCCTCATCTGCAGCTGCCTGGAAGCCCTGGTCTGTTGGCTGATCACCCGCCAGCAACACAGGTATAAATCTTCGCTCATTGTCATCCAGCTGGCCTTCCAGCATCTCCAACTCATCCAGAAAGCCATCCCACGGTTTCACCGCCGGAAAGGTACACAACCGTGTGCCGCATGTTTTGCTAAAGGAGCGGCGTGGGCTGCTTCGCGGATTAATATGTGGCACCATCCGCATCATGGCTCCACGAGCAGTCATCTTGTAGGGGTCATCTGAAAGCACAGATTTGGAAGTTCGTGGGAAGTGTCAAGACATCACACATTCACTAACAGGAATGAGCTGTTTTGCAAAGGTCATAGGCCCATTTACAAAAGGTTGTGGCCCATATCTATGTACATGGGATATAACACTCAATGCATACAGGGAATGCAACATGGGCAGCAGGTGCTATGCAATTTGGCGGCTGGGGGTTAGCAATTGTATGCTGCTGCACCTGCTTGATGTGTGTAATGTGGAATTGGGTTGGGTGTGAGAAGTGCTTTCATGCAGTGGCATGATACGGAGGGGCTGCAAATTGAGGCATTCCCAGCGCATTATTGTGCAGGGTTAAGAGTTTTAGTCGGATAGGGCCACAGAAGTGGCAAATACTCCACAGTGCACAGCAGTATCTAGCAGGGAATTGCAAGTGCGAGCAATGTGAGCACAGCCATTATTGCCAACGGCATCATCAGATTCCAGGCAATCAGAATGAATACAACAGCACTTAGTCTCATACAGCAGCAAGATCAGCAGGAGATGTTGTGTTTAGACTGGCACGCTTGCCATAAGCTTGCAGAATAGAAAAGAACCTGGGCCCTCAGGCAGCGCACTTGCGGCCACTAACCACCACACAAAGTTCATGATGAACTTGTTGGTGTCAGTTTCCTGAAGGACAGCCAGCGGGGCCTCGGGCATAAGCACCACGAAGGCAAGCAGGTCAAGTTGGATCCCAACGCTGTCATGATTCTGGCAAGACAAGCAATGTGCGGAGATCTTAGTGAACGGGACTACTAGGTGTTGAAGTGGACCCCAATGGCTCAGGCGGGCGGAGTTATATCCCAATACGTGTACAGGCCACGGTCAGGTGCTCAGGTCATGGCCATCTGGGTAATGATTAACGGGTGCAACATGTAGTTCTGTCTAGATGACTCAGTTGCTGAGGATGTGAGCACACGACAGATATTCCCTGTGCCCTGGAGCCGGCTACTGCAATCATCTGTAACCATATGCAACATACATGTGCATTGTAAGAGGGTCGGCATACCCCAGACGAGCACAATGGCAACAGCTCCCCTAGCTGAGCATATCAAGCGACTCCGCTGCCTCTACCAACTTCTGGATAGAGTGGCCGACTCGATGGCTCAAGCGTTGCTGGTGTCCCTTGCTGAACCAAGACCCCCGAATGCCGACCCATGTTCTTACCTACGGCACCGCGCGAAGCCGCGTCTTCAGTAGCAGTTGCCAAGGTGACTGTGGTCTGCTCACGTTGTAGCTCCTCCTGCAACCGACCAATCTCCTGCATTACTTGCGTCCGTCGCCTCGAACGGGCCAAGAGGAGGACCTCCCAATCCGGATGGCTGAGGTCCAGAGCTGTGATCGCTGCTGTGTAATCCTTATCGATCTTGTTGACAATCCTCTCATACTTCTGCCGAGATGCTTCGTCCGGCCCCAAGGCTGCGATTGCCTCCTCACGCGTGCGAGCCGCTGCTGCCTGTGTTGATGTACAATGGTTTAAAATGACCCTTTCTTCTGCCGATAGTGCAGCAGCTGTCGGGCCCTGCAATTCGGCTTCCAACGCTCTTATCAGATTTTGCAGGTTATTTACGAAGTTAGACATGGCGCGATTCGCGAAGCTTGGTACAAAAGTAAACAAGGACCTTGCGTCCACCCGTATGTGAGAAACCTGAATTAAAGCAAACAAAGACTCTGGATGGATGGATGGAGGCCGAATTGCAAGCCCGTTGCATCTGAGCCGTACGAGCTCGCTGAAACTTGTAACATCCATTCATCCATCCTGTTTCATTGCTCAAAATTGAATGTGTTATTAACAAGGAACTCAACAATGCCATGTTTATGAACCAAGTCATCGATTGGCATGCGATTCTCCGTTTTCCCGTTCAAAACCACCGTTTGCCCCCATATATAAATCATTTAGCCTTAGGTCATCTTACAAAACCTTTTTTCCAGGAATGGATCTGTCGCATTCATCCCAATAGCGAACGGTATCTCCCTCTGTACCAAGCTGGGCATATCGTGCTGTGCTAATAGTCATGCGGAAATGAAAGTAAAACGTTCTATGGGGCGCGGGTGTTTTGATGGGGAGCACCGTACCATCCATTCAGAGCAGTGAATGGTAGGAGGGGGATGGAAAGGGTGGCGTGAGGGGAAACTCATTGTGTTACACCTCGGTTGAATTGCCCAGAGAGGTGTAACGAGCCCTTACGGGCCAGATGCCCAAGAGCCTGGAAGCCACAAGCTAGGTTAGGGACACTACGACAGTCTAAATA